TTCTTACATGTTATCTGTCATATGAATTCGGTTCAATTTACTTTCATCGTTATCTAGCAATGCATTTTTAACTAGTTTAAGATGATTCAAAATTGTTCAATATCCCTTCATTATAATTGAATACCTTAATTTACCAATATCCAGGTTTCAGGATCTCTCCCTGAGAACCCCCATCAGAAAGTACCCTAGATCCGCTTAATTGGGACTCGCGTGCCCTAAGATCCATTGCCTCACTAAAAAATTGAGCCTAGTTACGGCCTTGACTATGAATTCCTACTGATAATAATGATGTTAACACCGTATGCAATCCATTAATAATAATGGTAAAACTAGTACTCGTAAGGTGACGCAATAAAGTCCCTACGCCAGATGCAGGTTCAAAAAGGTGTAATTATATATATATATATATATATATATATATATATATATATATATATATATATATATATATATATATATATATATATATATATATATATATATATATATATATACACGAGGGTTGTTCGAAAAGTTCGTGGACAAAGTCAATCCTCGTTATACTACTTTCAAGAAATTTAATACAAGCACATTATCATATGTAAAGATATTTATTTTGTTGATGTGTGAAGTTTCATTCCATTCGATTTAATAGAAATCAATTTACTTTATTTTAAAATCAACATGTTTGGCTACCCCGGAGCAAACCAAATAATATTATAACGTCAAAAATATAGCGTCATGAGATTCTCAGAATATTCCCCCTATACATTTCACACAGTCTGGTCCAATATCTGCTCATTTAAAACGTGTCTCTATCAATTGAAATTCATTTTGCTAACAATTGTTCCAGTAGCATAATTTTGATTTTCAATGTTTTCTATTTTCACCGCTTAACTATGCTTTCACAAGACCAGCAACCGTGAAACGCCTTTCTCTTTCCAAGACATTACTAACTGAACGTTTTTGGGTCGATTCTTTACAGATAATCCGTTTTCTCACAGATCGTCCTCGTCTGATAGAGTCTCTATCATTCAAATACCTCCTAGGCCATTTACACAACATATGCATGATCCGCTTTTGAGATATTCCATGTTTCTTACAACCTTTTCAGATTTTATTCTGACTTTTTCCACAGTACAACAGAAAATTATATCATAAACTGCTGCTCCGTGACGTTCTACGACGTCACCTTTTTCGCCTTTTTCAATGAGAACTACCTATTTTCAGAAATTGATTTCTTTTCCATGAAGCAAGCTATTCAGTCATAATTTGGAATATTAAACGATGTAACAATTCTTAATTTGATGGTCCAGATTTATTTTGATTTTCAGCCATTTTACAGAGGATATGACTACAGAAATTAATTAGGGTAATGTTTGTCAATTGCTGAATTTTGACTTGCTCCGCGAACCAATTTTTGCAGTTTTTAACTTCTAATAAGTTTGAAATAAATCAAAAAAAATTAATTTTTTTCAATACAAATCATTTTAATTTATTGTCAAAATGTTTCTACCAAATTTGGGTATAATATGACGTTAAATAAAAAAGATATGACAGAAGTACACGAACTTTCCGAACAACCCTCGTATATACATTATAATTTAATACAATTTTATTTTTTACATAAATTTGTGTTGCAATTTTTGTTCATAACTTTATCTTTTCCAAATATGGCAGGAAAAAAATATGAATTGTGGGTGGAGACTGATTTTGACAAATGTGAGTTCGGAAAGGGTTTTTCCTACCCAATTACTGAAAGTTTGCACAATTCATTCATTTCCGAAAGTTGTCATGTTTGCGTATAATTTTTTTTTAAAGTTCATAAAAAACGCTATGCACTAAAATAATAATATTTGCTGTTTTGGCAATAAATTCGATCAACAAGTTCCAATTAAGGGCCAAAAATTTACACCCTCCTTTTAATTTTTTTTTCTAAAAATAAAAATCTTTCAAAAATTCTTTTTTAAACAGAATTTGCATCATTAAATTCTGTAATTTCAGACTTGTAATGAATTTAGTGTATGAAATTCTTACATAAGAGGCCAATGGGCTACATGTTCACCTGAGCATTTTATTCTCGATTTGACAGATACATGTTTATAATTTGTGTAAAATATAGAATTACGAGTGTTGTTCAATAAGTAACGCCACGTACGGATGTAGAAGCAGTTTATTTTATATTTTCACAGAAAAAGTTCTATTTAAGATCTCCTAATCACCGAAAACCGCATGTTTTACCTAACAGTAGTGAATATTGACCGTTTTTCAGCATTTTTAAAATATGTATGTCATATATATCCAGGGTTTCATTAACTTAAAAATATATTCTAAATAATTTTTATAGCATAAGTGGCAACTGAAGTGCTATGTTTTTGAAGCGTTGTTATTTTGGATTTCTTAGTCTCTACTAAGGCTCAATAAAGATCAAACAGCTGAAAATAATTTTTTTCAGTCTTTTCCATTCGTTACCATGGCAACCTAGACAGATAGCAACACGATTTTGTTTAGTATACATGTATTTGGTATCAAACTTTAACATTGAGCGAGTTTTATTAAAATCGATGACCTTGCGTGCCATTTTAAGCAATGGCACCATTACCAAATCGGTAATTAAAAGCAAAAATATCGCTGGCAGGAGTTTTTCTTTAAATTTGGATAACATAATGTCGTGTTTACCTTTATGCTGCCGTCCAAATTTTGCTTTTCATATCGTCGCATGTATATATGGCTGAAATACTACCGACTCGGCGTTAAACAATAATCTATCAATCAATCTATTGAAGGCAGGCACGTGACGTCCGTTACCCAATGACAGAGCGTCATTCCTTCCGAGGCAAAACAAAAAAGTTTAAGTGCTTACAGAGAATATCTCTTAAAGAGAGACCCAGAGGCCACAATGCTTACCTGAGTAACTGGCCCTTCTGTTCATCACCAGATTCTTTTTCCTACATATTCTAATATAAAACTTTGAACACTCTTTATGACCTAATCCTACCCCAGAGGATCATGATTTGAACAAACTTCAATCTACACTACATGAGGATGCTTCCATATAAATATGACAAATCATGGATTTGCTGTTCTTGAAAAGAAGACTTTATTAAAATTTTTCAAATGTATTCCTATGTGGAACTTTGATTGCTCATCGTGGCCCAACCCTAGTCCTGAGGGTCATGATATTTAAAGACTTCTCATATATATTCCTCCTATGTAAAACTTTGATCCCCCATATCTGCTCCACCCTACACCCAAGGGTCATGTTTTGTACAAACATAAATTTACACTACCTGAGGATAATTCCATATAAAAATGACTGATCATGAGTTTGCTGTTCTTGAGATCAAGATTTTCAAAGATATTTCCAATATATATTTCTATGTATAACGTTGATCCCCTGTTGTGGCCCCGTTCTACCTCCGAGGGTCAAATTTTGAACAAACTTGAATCTACCTGATGATGATTCTGTTTTAATATGACTAACTAATAATGGCTATGCTGTGCTTTAAAAGATTTTTTTCTAAATATTCCTATGTAAAACTTTGATCCCCTGTTGTGGTCCCATCCTACCCCGGGGGTCTTGATTTGAACAAACTTGAATCTTCACTATACCTGAGGATGCTTCTATATTAGTGGCTTTGCAGTTCTTGAGAAAATTTTTAAAGATATTTCCTTTATATTCCTATGTAAAACTTTGCCCCCTGTAGTCGCCCTGTCCTACATCCGGGGTCATGGTATGAACTAGCTGCAATAATGTAGCCCTCTCCGATTTTTTTTAATCTGATATTTTCAGGAGAGGGCTACAATTCCACTGCATCTTCGTAATGGTGCAAATATATTTTTTAGATACGGGCGACTGCAGGCAAAATAAATTATTTTTGCATTCAACTTACTTCCAACAAGACGGAATTTTTATTCACTATCAACATCATAGCCCTTTATACGCGAAAACCAAGTAAAATAAATCTGCGTGTTTACCAGTCGTTCTCTTCAGCAGCCATGACAGTTCTCGCGTGATGTACTGAGACTTGCGCTTGAAATTTAGAATCACTTGATAAAGTAAATGTCGGTGTTGATAAATGTTTGTGTTGTATGATATCACTAAATATCGATAAATAAAAGCATTCCATGGGATATTTTTTTTCATTAACAGTGATATTTTTGCTTAAAATAAGGGAAATCCTATACGATCCGCTCCCCTAGATCCCGAATTCTCATTGGTTGTCCCAAAATAAAATCGATCAAGGTCAGTAAATATGGCGGATAAATTTAAGTTGTGATGTTGACATACACGAAAAATAACCGATATACCGATTGTTCTGTATATTTTTGGATCAATTCATGTCTTGCATAACTACATTTTATGAGTTCAGGTAAGATATGTCAATAAAATACCCATTTACCGATAATTTGAGCCGAAATCTGTGCGGTAGTGAATCACTCCCGCACTTGCACCATTACGGAGATCCTAAGGAGTTGTAGCCCTCTCCCATAAAAAAAAAATCGGAGAGGGCTACATTATTGCAGCTAGGTATGAACAAATTTGAATCTGTAATGATAATGATAATAATGAATTTCTCAACTAAGTTTTCTCTTTTCTGGCCCAGCAGTTCATGAGAAGAAGATTTTCTAAATATGCCGCCGAATTTTCACGAAATCGTAATTATCTCCCCTTGTAAGAGGGTGTGTTCCTTCATTTGAACTAAAGTGAATCCTCTTTACTCAAGGATACCCTGTGTTAAGTTCGTTTGAAATTGGTCCATTGGTTCTGGAGAAGAAGATGAAATTGTAAAATGTTCTAGACAACGACCGACAACGGACAAATTTTGATCAGAAAAGTTCACTTAAGGTGTAATGTCTTCTGATAAGAGAGATAACATTCCAAAGAAATTATTCCAAGCAATCCAATGAATTGTCTTACCAGAGTTTAATAATGAGGATTATTATATAGTCACTTCTATCAAATTTGAACTATGTTACATATATTGATTTCTATTTTATATTACAGAAATTTCAGATGCTGAATTTTTATAATCAATTTATTAATATTTTTTTCTCTCAAAGCATATTCTGAAGAAAGATAACTACTCTAGATGGAAAGATAGCTCTTGTAGATGGATGCATTTATTTTACAACCACAGAAAACAATGCGATATTCTGATTTAAAAAGCAACACTTCATTGTGTTTTCTAATATGAATTAAATAGGTATGACAGTAAATATTATTTTCATATATATATCTCATATTTTTAATTTTATGTTGAGATAAATTATTGATCTTTCTATCCACCATATCAAATTTTCCTCATATCGTGATTAGATATAATATTCATTTCTGAAAAAGAAAGCAATGCTTTATACTTCAAACTATTTTCCATTTGAATATAATGATATTGTTGTTGATGAAAATCAATTTTGGGAATTTAAAAAGAAATTGATGAAGTTTATAGAGCAGAGGGATATTTCACCTCAAGTCTTTGGCTCAGGTGAGCTAAAAACTGTACAGATATTTTGTTTATAATCAAATATTTTGTTTCTAGTGAAGTAAACACTGTCAAATCCAGATTTCAATCAAAGAATTTAAAAAAAAAAATAACGGTTTTCACAACCCTTTAAAAGGATTACAATGCCTAATTAATTGCTCAGGTATTTAATGACTTTGATTTTCCCTGACTTCCGCTCAGCCACATACAGTGTGTCATCTTCGCTCACGTTTATTCCTACGGGAAGCTTAATAAAATGCTTGTCGATGAGCGATAAGAATTTTCCGTCTTTGTCTATTATATGTATACAGTGCTGATTTTTGTCTGCAATCAGAATGTGACTTTGGCTATCACATGAAACACAACCTGGCTCAAACTTTGAATGGGAACGCCCGCTGTATTTATATCGAGGGACCCCTGTGCTTTTGACGACAACAACGCAGCGTGTTTCTACATCGCTAACGCAAATGTCTGTATTTGTATTTTCGCAAACAAAAGAGGCATCCCGAAAGAGGAAGTTTCCCTGAGAATCTCGAGAGAATTCTTGAATAACAGTTACTCCGGAATATCGAACAACCTTGTCTGGTTCACCTTGCCTGAACATGGAAACTAGTACATCGTTGTTAGCAGTGACACAGAGGCCGCGAGGTGTCCACCCCGTAAATGTGAGTAATGTCTTAATTTTTTGATCTGCAATTACATTTAAAACTTTTGCCGCCATAACAGTAAATATGAGTTCCCCTCCTTTGTTCAGTGCGATTTGAAATGGCGAATGAATGGATCCACTACTATATGTTTCCATAACTACTCCGTTTATGTCCAATTGCTTCACTGTATTCATATCCCCCAAGGTCCATAAGCTACCATCACGTGCCTTCACTACTCTAGACAAAGGCACAAACCCGCTCTCTAATGTTTGAATTACTGTTGGAGAAATCAAAGTCCGAACTCTTCTGTGAGCAAGATATTGCACAACTAGGTGATCGACAGTTGAGGATAACACGTGTATGGAAACACAGGACTGACACAGGTGTTTCTTGCAGCTTTTACAGAAAATTTCCGCTGCTCCTCTTTCCACGTAAGCAGGACAGATGTCGCACCTGATGATGTCCTGGGCAAACTCAATCCCCGCCATACTTTCAGGACAGCACTACAATGGTTAGAAATATCAGTAAAATCGCAATAATGATTTTTTATTTGAAAAAAATGCTGGTTTTTGCCCACAGAATGCTATTTTAATTTAAGATAGTCTATAAACAAAGGCCACCATTTTTTTTTATTTTTAGTTTTACAAACACACCGCAATTTATTTGAATTTTCAGGAAAAAAGGTTTATAATAAACATGGCGCGTAAATGAGGGTAGATATGCTTTGTTGGTTTAGTGTAAAACTTATCGATGGGAATGCTGATCAACAAGTTTTCGCCCGTTCAAACAACATACTGGAGACTTTTTTGTACACTGGCATGTTGGTGATATAATTACCGTCTTCCTTGGAAGACGGTCTACAGAGTTTTAAAAGTATTTTACAGTCTTCTGACTGTGCACTTCCTCTCTTCTGTGATTGGTAGAAAATGCATGATGTGAAAATTTTCAATCATTTCATTGGTTGAAATTTTGTGCTAGACAAGGGAGATCATTTTCTGGTGATTTAATTTTCGTACGACTTAATAATTTTTCAAGCTTTTCGATCTTAAAAAAATCGACAAAACGAACAAAAGAAAATTGCAATAAATGAAAAAAACTGACATTTTAATTTTTCAAAGCAACTATTATTAACTTTTTCTATATTTTCATGATTAACAGAAAGTTCTTTTTTTTTTTTTTTTGCAAACATTGAATGCGTGGGTTTTTTCTTCTTTTTCCTTCATTCATAAGTTGGGCTAATGTCTGTAAAAAAGCTGTTGAAGACGTACAAAGCCATGATCTACATTACTCAAAATTAATACGGTCTATTATGTGTATGTCAATTTACAGTTTAAGGTTGTTGCTAAAGCTTTTTGAAAAAGCTATACTTGTTATGTATCCGTAATCAAAAGTATATGTGCGTGTAAATTAATTTCCTCTCATAGGTTAAAAACTGGCTATGGTAGCTATCATGTGGGCATTTTCACCCTCTTTATTAATTTCTATTTTAAGATTATTTTAGATTTTATATTTCATAAAATTTGGTTCTTTCATAATGATTGTCAACATGATTTGAATTATATCTTACATTCGATTACATGCGCTTGTCATCACTTCTTGTCATGGACATATTTGTTTATTTACTCCGACAAGTATAAATTCACCCAAAAATCGGTGATAGTTTCTATAGCCAGAAACATTATTTATGTCTGGTATATCTTATATGCTAACCAAAATTCTTAAGAAAAGAATCGCTTATGCATCAGATGTAACGAGTAACTGAGTAACTATATGGAGGAAATGGAAGTCCATTTGTTGGGGAAAATAATAGCCAATAAAGAAAACAAAACTAGTATTAATATTATTATACAGGCACATAGTATCGTTTTTAAAATTGGAGGGCATCTAGAAAAATTATTTGACACTTAGTTGAAAAATTTTGGACCCCCCTCCTCCAGCCTGTTTTATATGCAAGGAATATTTTATGTTTCATTTCAATTAAGACCAAACAAAAAAATATGCGTCGTTCCGGTTACACTTTCAAAAAAATTAGGGTAGGTAGGTAGGGATTTTTTTTTTTTTTTTTTTTTTTTTTTTTTGAACATGATTTTCTTAATTTTTCTAAATAATACCTATCACTGCTTTGCAAATGGCATTTAGATGTGGTGTGATAATATACTGGTCAATATTGGTAGGGGACACCTACATGCTAGCTTGCTTTGGATTTAACACTATTCAACACTTGCACTATGTTTTGCAAGGAGGCCGTCATTGCTGAAACTAAAACTTAAATCGGAGCCATTGATGGAAATCGGGGGAAAATTCCAGAAAAAATATGAAAATTGCCCAAAAAAAGTTTAGGGTCGGGGGTTTAAAATAGGGAAGGTCGGGTAACCGGAACCACACATATTTTTTTATTTGGCCTAATAGTTTTAGAACAAAATTTACACATTCACTCAACATATATTTTTAAAAAAATGAAGATATATTAAAGGAGTGAAGAAAATTTATGTTGTTTGAAAATCGTATAATCTGACCAACATCTCAAAGTTTACATCACTTGCCCTAACTGGCAGACAATGACGAAATTAACAATTTAAGGTCCAACTATCTAGCGTGTCCTATTTGTAACCATTGTTTGGCCAGTGGCAAGGAGCCTGTTAGGAGAGCATCAAAAAAGCACCGAAAATGAATGTGCATGACAGAATAAAGTTGATTTTTTATTTTAAAAAAATATTGATTTTATTGTTTTTTGTATTTCCTTCTCCCACGGCACTTTATCATTATTGGGTTCGTAAACCTAAAAATAAAGAAAAATGCTCGCCTAATGATGATTTAAGAAATAATCACGAAAATTAATCATATATAAAATTTGTTAAATACATATACTCAAAACATATAGTCTTATATTCGTTTTTACTACATTTGTCTAGGTAGGCATTTATTACTCCCATGTGTGTATTTATTCTGTTTAGCTCCAAAAAGGTGACCATACATAGAAACGGAGTGAGTTATCGTTCCTTCTTTAAAAGTTTTGCAACTTCATCAAGTTCATGTTCAATGCGACTGATTACTAGTACCCCTGAAATAAGTAGTGTTTACTTACTAAATATCTTCTCTGTATAGGCGTCTTTTATCATTGTCTTCCACCCATTCCACACAGCCATCGTTTCATGTATCTTGATGTGTTGTTACATGTATATATACTTTTACCTACACTATAGCTTACTATTCTAACTATGGAAGATCGGATTCACCTTGACCTCATTTCGAGCTCGTTGCCTAACGAGTTGATAAACAGATACTGAAGGACCTTAATCCTCCTCTGCCTCTTACCCCTTACAACTGTTCAATTATAATGTTCAATTATAATTATAATTTATATTATATATATTTATATATATTTATATTTATATACTAGTATTTATATTATATATAATTATAATTATAATTTCAATTATAATGAAGCTAATAACTTAAAAAAAAAAGATTTTTAAAAAATACGGAAATTGTTTTCTACAGTTTACTGGTTTAAATAAAAAGAGGGTTGTCTGTCGGGTTTTTTTCATAAAAAGAAGTTTTGAAATATTGATTTTTAAAAAGTTTTAACAAAGAAAAACTATAAGTAAAGTTACAGGATCGCCCCCCCCCCCTCCCTTCCAGGTCTTGTCTTGAATTATTTTTTTTAGCTCACCTGAGCCGAAGGCTCAAGTGAGCTTTTCTGATCAAAATTTGTCCGTTGTCTGTCGGCGTCGGCGTCGTTGTTGTCGTAAACTTTTCACATTTTCATCTTCTTCTCCAAAACTACTGGGCCAATTTCAATCAAACTTGGCACAAAGTATCCTTGGGTGAAGGGGTTTCAAGTTTGTTCAAATGAAGGGCCACACCCTCCTCCAAGGGGAGATAATTACGAAATAGCAAAAAATTAATGGCATTATTGAAAAATCTTCTTCTCAAGAACCAGTGGGCCAGGAAAGATGAAACTCATGTGGAATTATTGTTAGGTAGTGTAGATTCAAGTTTGTTCAAATCATGACCCCCGGGGATAGGGTGGGGCCACAATGGACGATCAAAGTTTTACATAGGAATATATAGGAAAAATCTTCAAAAAACTTCCTCTCAAGAACAGCAAAGCTATGATCGGTCATATTTATATGAAAGCATCCTCAGGTGGTGTAGATTCAAATTTGTACAAATCATGACCACCAGGGGTAGGGTGGGGCCACAATGGACGATCAAAGTTTTACATAGGAATATATAGGAAAAATCTTCAAAAAACTTCCTCTCAAGAACAGCAAAGCTATGATCGGTCATATTTATATGAAAGCATCCTCAGGTGGTGTAGATTCAAATTTGTACAAATCATGACCACCAGGGGTAGGGTGGGGCCACAATGGACGATCAAAGTTTTACATAGGAATATATAGGAAAAGTCTTTAAAAATCTTCTTCTCAAGAACAGCAAAGCTATGATTGGTCATATTAATATGAAAGCATCCTCAGGTGGTGTAGATTCAAGTTTGTTCAAATCATGACCCCCAGGGATAGGGTGGGGCCAAAATGGACGATCAGTGTTTAACATAGGTGTACATAGGAAAAATCTTCAAAAATCATCTTCTCAAGAACAGCAAAGCTATGATTGGTCATATTTATATGGAAGCATCCTCAGGTGGTGTAGATTCAAGTTTATACAAATCATGACCCCTGGGGGTAGGGTGGGACCACATTGGACGATCAAATTTTTACATAGGAATATACAGGAAAAATCTTCAAAAATCTTCTTCTCAAGAACAGCAAAGCTATGATTGGTCATATTTATATGGAAGCATCCTCAGGTGGTGTAGATTCAATTTGTTCAAATCATGACCCCCAGGGGTAGGGTAGGGCCAAAATGGACGATCAATGTTTAACATAGGTGTACATAGGAAAAATCTTCAAAAATCTTCTTCTCAAGAACAGCAAAGCTATGATTGGTCATATTTATTTGGAAGCATCCTCAGGTGGTGTAGATTCAAGTTTGTACAAATCATGACCCCCGGGGGTAGGGTGGGGCCACAATGGACAATCAAAGTTTTACATAGGGATATATAGGAAAAATCTTCTTCTCAAGAACAGCAAAGCTATGATTGGTCATATTTATATGGAAGCATCCTCAGGTGGTGTAGATTCAAGTTTGTACAAATCATGACCCCCGGGGGTAGGGTGGGGCCACAATGGACAATCAAAGTTTTACATAGGGATATATAGGAAAAATCTTCTTCTCAAGAACAGCAAAGCTATGATTGGTCATATTTATATGGAAGCATCCTCAGGTGGTGTAGATTCAAGTTTGTTCAAATCATGACCCCCAGGGATAGGGTGGGGCCAAAATGGACGATCAATGTTTAACATAGGTGTACATAGGAAAAGTCTTCAAAAATCATCTTCTCAAGAACAGCAAAGCTATGATTGGTCATATTTATTTGGAAGCATCTATATTTATATGGAAGCATCCTCAGATAGTGTAGATTCAAGTTTGTTCAAATCATGACCCCCCCCCCCCAATTCCCTTTTTAGGGGTAGGTTGGGACCACTTATGCATTTAAGCTTTTCAATACTAAACTGATTTTTCCTTTTTTTCTAGCCACAGTGCTCAGGTGAGCAATGTGGCCCTTGGGCCTCTTGTTTTTAAATTCATTTCCGATGTATCAGATTGGTTGAAATTCGTAACAAGCGGAGAGCATCTTAATAAAAAAAATTGCAATTTCACTTGTTAACATAATTTATGCGTAAGTAATTTTGAAATCCGGATTTTTGACTAAATTAGACCCAAACCAAAGCCAAGTAAATGTCATCTTAACATCACAAAAATTCCTTGCCGCTTTAGATTTGGACTGAACTTAATAAAAGTGCTATTAACGTTAATCACCGATATTCCCCCAAGATCGAGTGATTCGAGACGATTGATGGCAGAAAGTTGTCATGTTGTAAATTCTGTATTTATTGCCACCCGGTAAATTCTCAACATTCTCAACATTTACAACAGGACAGAGGTTGAGCTGAAAGAAAATAAACTTTTTACAAATATTTTTTTCGGATCTTATTTATGGCGTTCATTTCCTTTAATATGATAAATAATTCTACTTTCTGCATGTGGAATTTATATTTCAATTTTATTCAGAATTAATTAAATTAATCTTGGAAAATAGCGATTTTAAATTTTGATTTAAGTCCAAAAATATTTCTAATTGCAAGGAGAGTCCATAGTGTGTAAGTTCTGATAAGACACAGCAAGTTACCCCTACACTGCATATATCACTTAATCTTTGAGAGGAAGGTAAACATGGCCTCTTTGCACCCTTCCTACTACGCATTTAATTAAAGACAAAATTTCTCAATATTTTAAATTTTATACTTTTATCCCAGACGCAGATCCAAGATTTTTTTCCGGGGTTGGGGGGTTGGGGGGGGTTCCACCCCAGTCAAAAAAGTTCCAACACAGAAACTTTTGGACAAGCAGCAACAACAACAACAACAACAACAACAACAAAATTATGAAAAAGAAATATACCTTTAAAAGGCACTACAGTCCTTGCGTGGTCAATGAAATGGGGTAAAATTAGTATCCTATGACATACTTTTGCTTTCTAACATCAAATTAAGGATCACAGTTTCGAAAAATTATTTTAATTTCTTTTTTATTAATTTACTTTATTAATTATTTACTCGTTTATTTTCTATTATATATTTTATTTCATATTTATTATCATTTTTGAGCGAGTAGGATATTAAAATCACCCCCCCCCCTCCCCCCAATAAAGTTTCCAGGTTTGATATTAAATCTGTTTAAATTTTGGATCCATTTCTCAAAACTACTGACATTATTTGCCTCGCACCTTTCTCCTGGGTACCTAAAGATTTAGCGTTGATTGCGCTTTGATTGAGTTCAGTCTAGAGCTATACAATGGAGAAAATCCACAGAATATTTCCCAATGTTTAGAATAAGCGCAAATAATTTCAGAATTGAAAGGGGGAAAAAAAAGGAAAAATCGTGCCAACGCCTGCCATGACACAGGGCCTCGGTTTTTAGGGTCTCAATAAACATGGAAGAACAGAAAACCACTTTTGAAAGAAAAGAATTTGTAGAATGTGTGACATGAATTGTGTGGAAGATAAAATTATATTCATTCATTGATTGAATGTCCCTTATATAAAACTGATAGACATGATTTATTTTAGGATATTCCTAAAAATAATAAAAAGATTTTACAGTTAAACAAAAATTTCTGTGTATCAAGTCTAACGAAAATGATACATTGTTACTCAACTTTAGAAGCAATTTTTTATTCTATATGTTTAAAATAAGAAATACTGCACTGTCACCCTACCACAGGCACCTGAAGCGTCGATCAGCCCCCAGCTAACTAATAAAATAAAAAATGTTTTTTAGAAGTCGCCCAATAGGTTGGAAAAACAAGATGCGTTTGTGAAACACTGATGTCCCCGTATGGCAACTTATAGCAAAGATTAAACTTTCTCAAACGCAAATCAAATACGTTGGTACCCAAATTAAGGTATTGTCCCGAAGAATATACCTGTGAAATATGAAAGCCCTAGCAGCAACTGTTGAAAAGATATGGAAAAGGTTAAAGTTTTTCAAAAGTAAGTCAAACATCAAGTTCAAGGTAAAATGGTAAAAATCCATGATGCCCAAGGAAAGACCTTCTCACAAGAAATACACATGTGAAATATGAAAGCCCTAGTACCAACCGTTCAAAAGATATGACCGAGGTTAAAGTTTTTCAAAAGTAGGTCAAACTCCAAGGTCAAAGGGTCAAATTGTTGGTCTCCAAAGGAAGGTCTTGTAACAAGGATTACATATGTGAAGTATGAAAGCCCTAGCACCAACCGTTCAAAAGTTATGGCCAAGGTTAAAGTCTTCAAAAGTAAGTCAAACTCCTAGGTCAAGGTCAAAGGGTCAAAATTGTTGGTATCCAAAGGAAGGTCTTGTTCCAAGGAATTACACATGTTAAGTATGAAAGCCCTATCACCAATTGTTCAAAAGTTATGGCCAAGGTTAAAGTTGGGTAAAATTTTGTAAAACTGGGTCAAACTCCAAGGTCAAGGACAAAACGTCAAATATGATGGTATCCAAAGAAAGCTCTTGTCCCAAGGATTACACATGTGAAATATGAGAGCTATAACTCCAATCAATCAAAAGT